AAAATCCCTCTCTGGTTATAAATTATTCGATGAAAATAGAAGAGAGCCTAACTTAATTTTTTTTTTTTTTTTGTCCTGCAAAATCCTGCTTCACCAGGAAAACACAAACAAGCAAACAAGATGTCAGTCAGAGGGGAGAGAATTTTTTAACTCATTGTACTGGTATTCTTATGACAGACACTTTTAGGTATTTTTTTAGGCTCTCATTTTGCTGCAGTGTGGATACCATCTTTCTCTTCATTGTCTTGCCTTGTCTATGTCCTCTTTCTATGTCTTTAGCTTGGCTCCATTTATCACTGTTGTATTCCCCCTTCCCTTATGTGCTCTTTTTCTTCTATTGCCCAACCTCTTTCCTCTCATTCCATTCTCCTTAAGTCACCTCTCCTTCCTCACATTAACCCTATCTTCTCTTTTTCCCTGTAGCTCTGTACATGCCAAGGTTTTCCTCCCAGGAATTTGAATTTCATCTGTATGATATGTTCAGAAAATCCTAAACTATTTCAAATCCAATTAACAAGACTTCACAGTTATAAACACCTGTGCAAAGCTACTCTAAATGCACTTTTCTCTGGCTTTACCTATCCTTTCCACTCTGTCTCCTCTTCAGCTTCTCAAACTGTGAGATATTGCTAATGACCATTTGAAAACTTCTCTTCACTCTGTTATGTACTCTTTCCTCCGGTGCCAAGGCATCTTGTTCCAACTGTCTCTTCTGACTTTAATATTACCTAAAAGAAACACATCTGGTTTCCACCCACCTATCTATCCCATATTCCTTGCTTGAGCTTTCAGGCAGCTCAATATTTAATAATATTAATGCAAGAGTACCAAGAAAGGCACTGAAAAAAAAATACAGAGGTTTGTATGGTGTTTTTAACTAAGCAATACTTAGGGAAATGGGTCAGCGAATGCACTGGTAGTATGAGGATGAGAAAGTGACAAAAAGGTGGAATAGGGAAAAAGGTCTAATTTGTATTTTATACATACTGTTCTCCAAGACATCATGTTTCATATATTGCCCATCCATGTGCTCAGGCCTGCAGCAGAAGAAATGTACAGCTGATAACGCATATTTCATTTACATCCCACACTGCTGCCCAGCTCTGAGGAGGAAAGCTCTGCTCCTCCACAGCACCAGGCCCTCAGGAAGCATTTCTCTCCACCCTAAAGCACGTGAGGGACCTGACAGGAATGGGTGGCTGAGCGGCAGGGGATGAATGCCATTTCTGCACTGCAGAAACACAGTAAAACACGGGCTGTAATAAAGACCTTGAGTGGAAAAGTTGCTTCTATTTGAATTGGTATGAAATACAGGAAACTGTCTCCCAAGCTGAAATTGTCATCTGGCAATAGCCACATAACCTGGCTAAGAAATTATTTTTCTTGAAAAACTCAATTATTTGTAGTGGGATGCTGTCTTTGTAAATTAACTTTTATTATTGTGCATTTTTTTTCCAAACACTCAATAGAAGAGTGGATGTTAAACACATATGAATACTGCTCCTCATTTCCTTTCAGGCCCCTAATCAGGAAATGTTGCAAATCAGTGTCGGTATTACTGGAGATAAATGGCTGCTTCTCAGAAAGTGTACAGGGAATATGTTCCTGCCAGGACAAATACATAGGCTGTTGGACAAGACAGGATTATATCATCATTGCAAAGATGCATGCTGCCTTGTGTTGCTCTGTAATTAATAATATTCACATGTTGGTTTGACTGAAATCACTGTAACTACCAGGGAAATTACTACTGTCCCTTCATGTTCCGATTCATTCTACTGGTGTTTGAAGTTTTCTTTTCAAATCAGTTTTGCAGTATTTAAAAATTTGATTTGCTTTTCAGGTATAGGAAGAAATCCTTCATGGATTTTTTGTCTTGTATATTCAGTAAGTGTTTAAAGACCATGTAATCACTGCTTTTTTATATGAGCAGTGAGATTTCAGAAGAGAAAAGACACTCTACTGAGCCATAAGGCCTTTAAAATCAATTCCTGTCATCAGTTCATTTTTCCCACTCTCCTTCAGAGAGGTTGCACTTAAGAGCTCTCCTGCCATGTATATTGGGATAGATTTTCATCGCCGCAGCTTCTGTATACTTTTTCTCCCCTTTTGTTTTTTTACAAAATAAGGCCTAGGCTATGGTGACCTCAGCCATTTATGAAAAACTTTCCTTCTCTATATTCAGTAAGTGCATAGGACCCAGCCAGGAAATCTGACGACAGGCAAAGCGGAGTCCAACTTGGCCCTAGGAGCTACAGAAAAAAAAAAAAAAAAAAAAGGGGGGGGAGGGGAGGGAAGACATAAACATCACTACTAGGGCATGTCTCCACAGTTTACTGGCACGATCACCTTCAAAATGAAAAGCTGGGAGGTTAGGTTCCAAAGTAAGAATTCAAAAGTGATACCAGCAGCAACATTGCATGGGTCTATGTTTGCAATTTTGTTAGATTATGTGAATAGTGAACTAAGCACATGAAGCATATGTATACATTATCAGTTTACCCTGCTAACCTCATGGCTGTCATGACCAAATTACTTCCCATGGCTGAGCTTGCTGTTTGGGGTTTACAAGGCTGTGTCACCCTGCTCAGCATTCAGTAGTGCAGACATAAGATCTGTCCTGCTCATGGCTGCTGAGTAAACAGTCATGGTATCTTATCCCGTTTTTTTCTTCAAAAAATATTGGATCTCCCTACAGGTACGGCCTGCTATTATTCTCAGAACAAAATCTTCTTACATGTGCCTATATAATGTTTGCTTTGACAGTATTGAAATGGCTTCAAAATCAAACCACAGTCTGATTTTTCTGTCCAACAAAACGCCAGCCAGCCAGCCACCAGAGATGTCTGAACAGATCTGAAAATGAAAAGCCACGAAATGACTCAGTGCATTAGGTCACTGTGACAGCCAGGAGGTAATACCAGAGTATTTACTTTGGCTGGAGTCTTCCTTGGCTCATCTTTCTTTGTAGCATCAAAGCCAGGCTCTCATCTTAAGCCAAAGTGCTGTAGCTTGCCCACTTCAGTAACGGTTCAATGCAGGTACCAGGTAAATAACTAACTCAACCACGGTTTTTTAAAAATTAAGTTTAAAACTCCTATGTATTAAAGAGAATAATTATTCTCTTCCCTGCCTGGCAGTAAGGAGCAGAAGAACAGACACACTCTATGGCTTACCAGCATGGCTGTCCTCCTGTGATGCCGGGAAGCTTTAGCAGCGCCTAATCACCTCTGTGGGTCTGTAGGTATGAATATCCCTAAAAGTATTGTCCAGGGCAATGGGAGTATCATCTTGGTGAGGATTTTCAGCCCATTTTCAGTGTAGATGGCAGCTGTCCCCACCCCACAGGGATGATGGGAACATGGGCAGTCTTTAAAGGTTGTAAGAGGCTATGGTGAAGAGTCATATTTCCATATATTGAACAGGAAAATTACTCTGAGTTAAGAATAAAGACCACATTTATTGCCACCCAGGAAACATTAGCAGCTTCCTTTGCTTGCCCTTTCCAGACCACAAAGGTGGCTTCAGGGTAAATCTTTCTGAACAACATGAGCATGATAGGTTTCTAATGAGGTTTGGCTCTATTCACCACCAAAGCTACATGCTAACTCCATCTTATAGGAAATGACATACACAAGGTTTTGTATAAAGTAAAAAGAAACACTATAAATATGGATGCTGTTCTGTAATGTTAAAAGTTTTTTCCTTTAAAAAATTGCATTCAACAGATTTTCTTGCTTATTTCCCTATTTTTTTCACTGCAAAAAGACTGTTCTTTGTCTTTGTGACAAAATGATTTACTTTGAATGCATATTTCCTGAAACTTGAGAGTATTTCTGATAAAACTGAAGGTGAATTATGTATGGGAAGAGTGATACTGAAGATTGTGGTAATGGTGCAACTCAGGTGACTCATATACCAAAGAAATTAACCATTCACTTCCAAACCAATTGCTTCTCTTAATCAACTAAGATGGTTAACAAGTCCAAAATTAAAGTTATGAATGTGGATTTCAGGGAAAAAGCAAATCCTTATATGAAATGGTAAATATTGATGGTTAGCTGGAATAAAGGGTTTGAGACATAAAATGTTTTCACATAGGTTGGGCAGGTTTTTTTCCGCTTGTCCATGGATGCAGTGAAAAATACCGTCACAGTACAAACAGAAGAATGTATAAATTTGGTAAGCAGTCCTACCACAAAAGGAGATATGTTTTGAAAAGTCAGAAGTCTTCATATTGACTTTTTGAAATACCATGGTTCACCTCTTTACTTTGAAATTGCATTTTCCCTGTAGGCTGAGACTCCTGAAAGCTCAGTGATTTACTAGTAATTAAGAGAATCCTCAAAACTGGATGGAAATTTGGTGGATGTGAGCTAAGCACAAAATCAGCCTGTCTGCCATCAAGGACATACTACTGGGCTCAATAAACATGCAAATCAGGACAACTGAGAAAACCTACAAGCAAGCACTACTCCAAGAAATAAAACTAATGGGCCTTTGCAAGGCAGGGAATGTGCAGAGTGCTGGAGACCACGCAGAACAGGCAGAGCTTTGGCTGAGCCCTGAGCAACATCTGAATATGCAGAAGGTGCAGGAGCCATCTTAGATCCTTTTTTTGGTATTACTGACTTGCAAATTTGTCCCTTGAATATTTGCATTAAAGATTATAATTACACTCACTATATTTCCTTGCCTTTTTCCAAACTGATTCCCCTGTGGCTGTTTTCTGCCTCTTTTCAAGTGTTCAAGACCTTCAGGTCCCCCTTTCTTTTCAGTTCTGACAGGTGTTTATAATTTCACTTGCTTTGGTAAATAAATGGTAAATAAACCAGTACTTAAAACTATGACTATCTTGTTAAACACCAACTACCACTGCTCTTTCCTTATGGTCCTTTGCCTTAAATATGCATGTTGCTGTCAGCTGAGCCCTGTGCATCTTGAACAACCTAAAAATAAATAGATACATAGAAAATATAGTAAAAAAATGTTGAATTTACCTGAAGTTCTCCTTCCATTATACTGAGGAGTTTTATCAAGTCCTCTTTAGAAAACTCTATGGACTTCTTGTTCTTTCGTTCAGTAGGTCCAGGTGATTTTGAGTGCCGTTTGACAGTTGCTGAAACCATGACCTCATCTTCCTTCCGATGAGGTTTGTTCTTTTTCTTGGCATCCTCCTGAAGTTTTTCATTCTCTGCATGGCTGATGACAGGCTTGGAACTGGAGAAGTGCCCGTTAGACGAGCTTTCTCCACCTTGGTTTCGGGATCTCATCCCTACCTAGAAAGAAACAAACATAAAGATGCATTTAAAAACAAATTCACTTACAAAAAGCCGCAGTGGAAATACTGCCTTTTGGAAGAACAACCATCTTCTAAAAACTGAAAACTACTGTCATGCTCAAGAGACAGCAGTAGAAAGCTCAACCATTTCAACAACTCTCTGTGTGGCCGACAGTGAATCCAGGGCATTAATTATAAATTTAACAGAGTCCTAAAGTAAGGGTAACCATATTTTTCAGCATGCCAAGATGCTGATATGAGTTTAAATGTACAGAAATTAAAAGTGGTGCAGGAAAATGATAAAGAACATTTTCCAATGTTCCCTTTCCTTCAGTCAACATTTTGATCATTTACAATTCATCACTACAGAATAAAGTGGGTTGTTAAGTAGATCTTATTTTAATATGAGGTTTGTTTGAGAGACAGGAATACAATTCAATTTTAGAAAAGCATATTCCTTGAGTATAAATTCTCGGTGAGAGTGGAGTGTCAATGCATGACAAACAAAGATCACTCTATAGTTTTATTCCAGGTAAGCAAGAAAAATGGGGAATGCAGACTAGATCAAGTGGTAAACTCCATTTTAATCTAAATACCACATGAGATTATTAGACAGTAAGTGCCATAAAGGAAAGTTGAAAACAAGTTTGAGAAAAGAGCACAGAGGGCATGAAACCACTAAGAGGTAAACAAGCAAGATCAATGCAGTCCTTCCAGAAGATTCAGGGCTTCTCCAAAATGTCAGGTCATGATTGTTGAATCCTTACATCTCTGCCCTCTTAAGCACCTACACTGCACTCTTAGACTACATCTATCCTAGGAAATTAAACAGCGACAGCAAATGTTCCTGAACTCTGGCACTTGACCTACTGTATTGCTAAATCTCAGCACACTCCTTGACACACTTCTGGTCCAGGCAAACTACCACTCTCCCAACAAGTTCCTGGGCACAATTCAAAAATTAACCCAGGCCAGGTCCAGATGCATCCACCATGCTCTGGAAGAGCAGAGAGTTTAGTAGTATGAGCATGACTGGATTGTGCTATTTGACCCCAGGGACAGAATGGGGACCCTGGGACTGCTTAGTTTACAAGTAGCATAGCCTTGGTGTCACACAAAACGTATCTGTGAAAATCGTCCTTCCTGTGCATCACCCTCATCAAGCAACAGTCTTCTCTCTTCTCTCTCCTGAATGCCATTCAGCAATATCAAATTAAACAACTTGCTCTTATCTTCAAATCTCTTCACAGTTCTTCTTTTTCTTACCCATCAGCCCTTTTCAAGTTGTCATACACACAACACATTCAACTAAAATTAGCTTATTCTACCTGTCTGCTGTCTTCTCCTATGAACAACTCTCTCCTTTCTCCCCTGTTGACCCTGCAGATTGGCCAGGGATCATAGAACCATATAATTGCTTTGGTTGGAAAAGGCCTTTAAGATCATCGAGTCCAACCTTTAACCTAACCCTGCCATCCCACCACTAAACCATGTCCCTAAGCACCTCATCTATCCTTCTTTTAAATACCTCCAAGGATGGGGACTCTACCACCTCCCTGGGCAGCCCATTCCAGAGCCTGACAACCCTTTCAGTGAAGAAGTTTTTCCTAATATCTAACCTAAACCTGCCCCGTTCCTCATATGACTTGTGCTCCAGACCCCTCACCAGCTTGGTTGCTCTCCTCTGGACACGTTCCAGCAATGCAACATCTTTCTTGTAGTGAGGGGCCCAAAAATGAACACAGTATTCGAGGTGCGACCTCACCAGCACTGAGTACAGGGGCACGAACACTTCCCTACTCCTGCTGGCCACACTATTTCTGATACAGGCCAGGATGCCATTGGCCTTCTTGGCCACCTGGGCACACTGCTGGCTTATATTCAGCTGGCTGTCGACCAGTACCCCCAGTTCATTTTCCACCAGGCAGCTTTCCAGCCACTCTTCCCCAAGCCTGTAGCGCTGCATGGGGTTGTTGTGACCAAAGTGCAGGACCCGGCACTTGGCCTTATTGAACCTCATACAGTTGGCCTCGGCCCATCGATCCAGCCTGTCCAGGTCTCTCTGCAGAGCCCTCCTCCCCTCAAGCAGATCAACACTACCACCCAGTTTGGTGTCGTCTGCAAATTTACCGAGGGCACGCTCAATCCCCTCATCCAGGTCTTTGATAAAGATATTAAACAAGACTGGCCCTAGAACTGAGCCCTGGGGGACACCACTTGTGACCGGATGTTGCTAGCTCATAAAATCCCATTTAACCTGTAAGGTCTGCTCCTGTGTCACTGAATAACAATGGCACAGAAGACAAGATGGGTTCATCAGTGTGTATTTCATTGCTTACCATTATTATACAGATGTGCATAGGATACTCAGACATTTTTATGTACAGACCCATATTGCTATCCTGTCACCTTGCTAACCTGTCACCTTCCTATGTTATGTTGAATTAGGTCTTCGTAATTACATTCAATGTTTAACTGTAGAAGACCTTGATTGTTAGTTGTAACCAAGGTATTTGTCATACACAATGCAAAGGCAATAGTGAATTTAGGCTTGGTTCAGGGCCAAACTCAGATGTAAAAAGTTGGTCTCCTAAAAATTAGATATTCTTCATTCAGATTGCTTGTATAGCAAACAAGGGAAATCATCAGGAATTTATGTTGCCTAACTCCAATTTACTTTCGTATATGGTCATATTTTCTGGTACCTTAATTTTTTACTTAAATCCAGTTTACCCAAGATAGTCTAAGAATACTAGAAAGCAAGATCTGCACAGAGAAATATCTTGCTTTAGATCAACTACAATGTGAACAGACTGAAGAAAGCTGAAGAAGGGTCTGTATGTCTGAAACTTGCCCAGCCTGTATATCAATATATCTAATGGATAATATTCCACTGCTTCCAAATCTTTCCTCTCACTTAAATTCATCTCTGGATTTAGTTTGCAGCTTGTTCGTTAGTCACACAGATGCTTCTCAACATCACTAACATCACACACTTTTCTGATAAGGATCTCAGAGCAGCAGTTCACTAGTGACGGGGCAAAACCTAAAATACATTGACGAATCAGCTTGGCTAATGTATGCTGAGCGTGCTACAGCTTGCTACTTACTTGACTCAGGCCAGTGTTATAAATCTCTTTGTCTTTTTATTATCATTTGTTACTCATGTCTTAACTTCATTAATCCAGTGGAATTCGTCCAGCGGCATAAATGGGGAGAGAATTAGACCTAATGTTTTCAAGTGAGATAGTTTCATGATGAGATTCCTTGCATTGTAGGTCTGCTCCTATCCAAACAATATGCGATACAGGTATACAATGGCCTTTAACTTCCTGAATGCTTATGCAGTGTGTTTTTCATCAAACAGTTTGGATTAAACACATGAACTACGCTTTCTAAAAACAGATCTCCATTATAAGCATGAACAATACCTGAGAACCTCAGGAAATCTTTAAGGTCTCAGGTTTGTAATGGAAAAATAAACATTGTACTATGTTTCCTCTCAGATAGGGCTTTTCAATTTGTTTAACTTTAATGGGGTTTAAATTTTCCAACCATGCTTCCTCTCAGGAGAGAGAACTTGGGATTCAATCTGTCTCTAGTTTCTGAGTGTTTCCTTCTGAGTCCCTGTGGGTCACAGCCTCCAGCCACTTTCATCTCTAAACCAAACCTATTTTTCATGGCTTACAGTGAATGGCTTCATGGCTGTAGAACATCCTACATGTTTTAAGAATAAATATTGCAAGTCTGTCTTACATGTGTTTTCCAGTGGAAACCAGATTATTACATTACAGTGTATTCTGCTTAGTAACATGCCACGTTAGTGATTTCTCTGCAGTAAGATGACTCAACTGTTAGACCTGGAGGTGCACAATTAAAATTAAATTTAACTCATGACTAGTTGAGACACATCATCCACGCAAGCGCTGCATAATCAACCAGATGCACTTAGCTGGATACATTAGACTTCAGGAAAGGTGGTGTGTCATTCTATCACATCATAACTCAGGACATCTACTTTGATCCTTCTGTCTCTGTGGGGGCTGAGATAACTATTCATAAAGCCATGAAAAGACCAAGTAGTTGCCTATAGGTTTATAAGTATGCTGACAGAGAAATAAGGAATGCATATTTATAGTGTGGTTTTACTTGGTGGAAATCAATATAGGTCCACAAATGACAGATGCATTTTTTTTTTTTTTAATTCATTAAAACAGCAGCAGAGCAACTTAATCAACTGATCTGGAGTTTTGTATCAACTACCTAATTAGAATCTGATTGTCACTAAAGGAAGTCAAACTTGGCCTTTTTAAAAATTTCTTTAGCACTAGTAGATTTATTTTGCAGCAAGCCTTACATCACAGTAAGTGCGGCAGACAGTCTGTCACTCTTGGGGACATTGCCCTTAACAGCATTTCTTTGTGTAAAAGCCTGCCAAAATCAGCACTAACGCTCTCACCTATTCTGTCTTCAGTTGCGATGTTGATACTTTTCCAACGTTACCCAAATGCAAAGGTGTTGTGCGCTGAAGCCAGGGATGCAGGGGAACTCAAGATTAAATGGTGATGGAAAGGGCCAGATTTTTGATATTCACACAGTAATTTCCAAGGAGTTTAAGGGCCAAAATCAACGGCACAATCCAGCTGTTGTGCAGTGCTCTAGGAATACAAAGCAGCTGTAAGGATGACTGAGTTTTAATTAGAGCAGCATGAAGTTGTCAGAACATACAAGTGATGTTGGCTGAAATACTGTGTGCTAGAAAGAAGTGCTTGGACATCCATCTGTATTTCTGATGGCATCATGATAAAGAAGAAAAGTTTCTGACCAGTTGCACGACATTATTTTGGCATGCAAATACCAAAATCCCCAAACTTTGCCTGTTTTTTCACCAGGGTTCCAAAATTTATTCTGGGGCACTGCCAGTCTAACACTGGTAACAAATGTCCTTCTGCTGTCCACCCTGATCACATCTCTATACCTTACAGCATTCCT